CCGGAGCCGGGCCCGCCCCTCGACCGCGGGCTCAGAAGACAAGGGGCGCACGCGCCAGATTCAGCCCAGGAAGGTGGCGGGAGCGCGCCGAGGGTTAGGGAGAGGCGCGCATTGGAGGAAGGGGAGGCTACTCCGCGCGGCGCAGGAGCACGCGAGACCGAACCGAGGGGATGGGGGAGGGAGGCAGGAATCCCTCGAGGTCACGCATCTGGCCTCCCCACCACAACATGCACAGGGCCCTGGCAACCAGGGGGCCGGACCGCACCTCCGGCCCCATGGACCAATCCGGCAGTTCAGTGTCTCTGATCTCTGTCCTGGCCTTTGAGACCTACAAGGCAAGGTCCCCCTGGGTCCCTAGAGGCATCCGCCCCTGTCATACCCAAAGGCTTTCCCAGACCCCAGGAAAATCCCTACCTAGTGGTGGAGAGGACTATTGGGAGAATGCAGCCCTGGGAATTTAGGGACAAATCCCGAATTTGCGGGAAGAAAGGAAGGAAGGTCAAGAGGGAGAGAGAAACTGAATATGGTGAGAGGTGGCCCAGCCTTCTGCAGGACAAGGCACCCCCAACCTACACACCCACTTAAATCACATGAAATGGTGAGGTCAGGAAAGGCTTCCTGACAGAGATAGGATTGGGGGGAGGGGGGTGTCAAGATTATGGGAGGTTATGAGGTGTCAAAACAAGCACATGAAGGAGCTGAGAAAATCCTGTCCAAGGTTGCCCAGCTGGTAGGAGGTGTCATTCTGGTGACTTCATCAACTCGTGCAAGTGGTCTCAGTAGAGGAACTTGGTAGGGGGCTGTGGCATGGAAGGCATAGGAATATGAAGAGGGACATGGCCGTCCTCAGGTGTCCTGTGCTGCCCAACTGATGCCATGTGCCCTCCCACACCTCTGTGTTCCCCCCACATCCTGTGCTTTCTCCCCCTTGCCTGATCTGTCCAAATGCTTAGCCCCATCCCAAAGAACCAACCCCCCCAGCTCCATTCCTTTCCCCATCACATGCAGGTGTGCCGCTCCCAACACCCCCCCCCCGACACACACACACACACACACACACACACACACACACACACGTATACTCTAACACAGTGTCTTCCTTGTGAAGTAGTCTGAGGTAGTTTTAGGGAATAATTCTTGTTCTTAAGTCACTGGAAAGGTAGCAACATTAAATGACAGAAAGAACCCT